AGAAACAGACCTTTTTCTGTTACATTGCGCCTTCCTGGGCAACAGGTACGATAACAGCGCTTCCTTTCAAGTAACTCATTCATTCTGCTGAGTCGATCCGAAAGCCAAGAAAGGCTTTTAGGAATCAGGTGTTACTTTCAGGAGCATGCACTGGCGGATGATGTTTCTGGGCCCCTTGGAGAGCTCGCCTATGATGAGAATCTGAATGAGGTAGCAGACATTGGATCGGATGTCGATGAAATCGAAGTGCGCTCTGATGAGTTTTGTCTCTGTTAAGTTATCACAGCATTTCGAATGTATTACAGGGTATGGATGCAACTACGGCATCCACTATGGTTTCGACTTTACAAGACGATAAAATAATGCCTTCACGTCGGAAATGTAGCACGAAACCATCTGCAAGAACCGCATCTATAAAGCGCGGTAAAGTGCAAATGGTGAGTTTGATTCTGAATGGGTTCCGTTCATATGGTACACATTTCAATTTTCAGAGTAAGAGAAAGGGACGAACCGAGACAAGAAGCACCACACAAGCAAGCGACATCATCATCGACCAAACAAAACACCCAGAGGATCTTCGCCGAAGTGAACGCTTTCAAACAACTGGACGTTAATTTATCATCAAAATATTACATCTTAAAAAATAAACAACTGTTATGAAAAATCTCCGGCACAGTTATATCGAAGGTCACAAACTGATAACGACTGATAAGAGGCGCTGAAATACAATTTCACGAAATTCATAGTGCGCTTCGCAGCAGTCGTCAGGAGCTGATTTTGGGACATGATATAGGGGGTGGGACGGGAACATATTTGGTGGGGGTCACAAAGTGATAACGACTGATAAGAGCAGATAAGAGGCGCTGAAACACAAATTTCACGAAATTCATAGTGCGCTTCGCAGCAGTCGTCAGGAGCTGATTTTGGGACATGATATAGGGGTGGGACGGAACATATTTGGTGGGGGGTCAAAAAGTGATAACGACTGATGAGGACTGATAGTAACGATATGCGTACGAACGTAGAGATACTCGAAACCAGATTGCAGATAATGCATTTCATTTCAATATCATTTCATTAGCGTTGTAATTGTAAACTCAAACACCTTTCGACCGCTACACCTTCTAGAGTTCTTGAGGATGAATGGGATGCTCGAATAAATATGATAATGAATACTGGGCATTCCGTTTTGAGATATTCGACCGCTAAATTACCTCGATACTCGACGCATAGTGGTTGTTTACATCATCACTTTAGCTGTGCACTTCACTGCGCTTATCAAACAGTGAGATACAGCCAAGCCTATGCAACGGACAGTAATGCATTTAACGAAGCAGCTATAGTTAAGCGGTGAAACCTAAAGCTTCATCGATTGTCAGTTCTATCAAAGGCTTCCGTGTCATGCGCGCGGTAGCGGGCGGAGCTAAACTGGTAATGATATACCAATTTACCCTCAACAAAAAT